GCTCCCTGTATCATCTCGATTACAAAAAAGTTATTACTTACTTACAGAAATTCTTCTGCTTACTTTTAAATCACTAAATGGCCTTGCTCCTCCTTATCTCTCTGATCTACTGTCTCCTTACGTTCCACCTCGATCACTTCGATCTGCAGGGTGTGAACTTCTTACTGTACCTAGATTTCGTCTATCTTCAATGGGTGGCAGGTCATTTTCCGTAATTGCACCTAAACTATGGAACTCTATACCACTGGCACTAAGGACAATAACCTCACTCTCTGTATTTAATCACAACTCAAAACCTACTTGTTTACCCAATACTATCAGTCATAAGATGTTCTTTAGACACGCTCCTCATGCTATACTACCAGCTGTAATTCTCTCTGAGTATTTTCGTTCTGTGTAGTTTTGTTGCATTTACTATTCTTTGTTTGTTACATTTTGACATTATCCTTTTTCTGTTATTACTTATACTATGTTATTTATCTCTGTTTCCAGTACATAATTGTACCATGATATGCAACTGCAATCATGTCTATCCCCGGACTGGGCAAATGTCCACTGTCCACTTAATTTGATTAATTGATTGTAAAATGACTGTTTATGATTATGTGAATCGACTGTCTATTGTGTTACTGCTTTTGTACAGTGTCCTTGAGCTTGGGAAAGGCAGTATATAAATTAAACATATTATTATTATTATTGTTATTATTATTATTATAATCAAACAACAAAAGAAAGACAGAAAATACCGCACTGAAAAACTTTAGTAGCCCTAAAGATTAATCTAAAATTATTTATAGAAATAAATATGTCTGCTTGAAAGAATGAAGAATATGGTAAACAAGTTGCTATAAAGAATGCATAATTAGCCTATATAACCATTGGTATTTCATTAAAAAGAAGACCATGTTCTTGTTCTTTATGAGAAGTGGTTTTATTTAATTTTAAAGGGGTCATATGATGCGATTTCAATTTTTCCTTTCACTTTGAAGTGATACAAGCTCTTGGTGCATAAAGAAGATCTGTAAAATTGGAAAGACTAAAGTCTCAAATCCAAAGAGATATTCTTTATAAAAGTGTAGCCTATTTCATATTTCAAAAGAAGACCATGTTCTTGTTCTTTATGAGAAGTGGTTTTATTTAATTTTAACATAAAGGCATGTTGTGTGTCACCGCAGTTAAATCGGTGTCTATCATGATAAAACCTGACACAATATCAAACCTATATAATGAGTTTGGAAATTTTAGAGAAATGCTTCATAAATGCACTGTAACTAAACCCATTAGATTTCAGCCGACTAAATCTACTGTAGATTTAGTCGACTAAAACTAGACTAAAACTAAAAACAATTCAGATGACTAAAATATGACTAAAACTAAATGGCATTTTAGTCAAAAGACTATGACTAAAACTAAATCAAAATTTTCTGTCAAAATTAACACTGCTAAATATTTTATAAAAAATATCCCAATTTCCTTGAAATTTGATCTCACAGGAAGGAACTTGTCAAGTCTTTGTCAACCAATTTTAATTATCAGGCGGCATCTGAGTGTGGCTTTAAATGTTTCAAATGCCTGAAGCCAAACATTCAGGTTATTTATGCACAGGGCGCATTACAACTAAAAGGACACAATACCTCTATACACACATTTCACTTCTACAATAGACGACTGACTCCTTTTGCGAGCGCATTTGAATGCCACTCTAGGAGTCAAATTCTTTCACCGGGTCTCTGATTGGCTGTTTTTAACTCGTGTGGTCACAGGTAAAGAATGAGAGGTATGACTCAAGGGAGGGCAAATTCCCCCCAAAATACTTTTACCATATCTGAAAGACCAAAAAATGATCAAATATGGTAAATATTGACAGTAGCATACAAGTGGGCTCCTAAATTAAAAGATGTTGCCAAAACAATGGTGTATTTATTTTAATCTAGCTGAAGAATGAATTGAGTCATGCTGTGATGACAGTTGTAAAGATAACAGAATAATAATGGCATAATTTTGTAAAAAATAAAAAAATAAAGGGATGCACATAAAAGATGGTGCACTTGTGTTAAAACTTTCTAGTGACCATCTCTGATTAATTTCAAAGGAAAAATATTGATTTGGTCCAAACTAAAGGGAGGGAAATTTTTCTCAAGGATCAGCGAGTCGTCATATGATTGAGCACTAAACAATGACTTCGGACTGCAGTAATGATTCATAAGGGTATGTCAATTCTAAGATCAAACAAGTGACTGGTGGGTGCAGCTTATCTTTTAGATATGGGACGAAAGATACATTTCCGCTGTAAACCCAACCCTAAGTATACAACAGTCTCCGGTTCCACCTGCATGACTGTGAAGTTTGATGTTGTTTGAGATACGGACCATTGTGTCTCTGTATAATGCCAATAGTGTGGGTATATATATATAATAATTATTATATTTATTATAATTATATATATATATATATATATATATATAATTATTATTAT